CAACGTTGTTCCTGAACCTCTGACACGTGGATTTGGACAGTGTGTCTGGTTTTGGGGTGAACTAGTTTACAATAAGTGAAGACAATGATAGTTACCATTAAGGAAGATTGTGGAACAGAGTTTTGGTGAAATACAAGATACGAAATAAGACCATGTTGTGTTGCAGAGACTTGATAAACAAGAGGAGGGTGAGTCATGAGTGAGGTCCCAATTATGACTCACTCTTGATTGTGACACAAGGACATTGTCGGTTTCTTTAACATTATTCATCACATTTCTCTGTCTATGATCATGTTAAAATCTTAACACATACATGCATACATCATCATGGATCATGTGTGTCAACATGGCATGGGATACCAATAATAATAATAACAATAATAATGTTGGTAATGCAGATTTAAAAAAGTGTTTCTTTGGGGTCTGGAATGTTCTGGAAGGAGTAGTGAATATTTTAGTTAATTATTTATCTTAATTTGATTCATGGTTAAATCGAGTTAAGCCTAGCCATGATGATGGACAAGATTCGGATTTGGTGGGTCCATGCCAAGTCATCGACACTTGGCGGAGTGTTGGAATTTGAATTTGCACGCTGGAATGGGGCTTTCCTCTGTTACACGTCTCTTATCCAAATGTCACTTTTGTTAAGTTTTTTCTAGAATTTGGCTATTTATATAAATTATATAGTCGGCAATATATATTTTAAAAAATATGTAAAATTAATATGGTTGATTGAAAATTTAATAATACTGTGTTTTTATTTTTCTTTCGAGCTGAAAATCTCATCACAGCCCAAAAGTCAGAATTCTTAAAATACACGTGCATTGAGCTTAAAATGATTCTATCTCTAAATTTGGTCGCAATTCGATCTTTCACCAAAAATTGTCCAACTTTATGGACACAACTTGGTTTGACTTCTCTTAACTTTTGAGGTGAAAAGTGGAGAATGGATTCGTTTCAATTCTTGACTTTGAGAGATATGGATAAGCATAGGAATTAAAAGACCTAATTTTGTGCATTCCATTTCCCACGGTCTGAATTTTCAACTATTTTGGCGACACAAGGATTGTGTGTAGCGTTGCATTGCAGTAGGTACATAATGGGTAGTGCATTTAAAATATGACGATGTGAAGATGTCAATTACTTAGAAGGGGAAAGAGAGACATTTCATACAATGAGGACCGAATAAAGATATAATTAAATTATGCATTTCAAAAATGATATTTTCATCGTTCCAATATGTTGAATAAAAGAGAAGGTCCTAATAACACATAAGACAACGAGAGTGTTCTTGAATATTATCCAATAAATTATGAATTTCAATAGTACAATTTGCAATTAAGTCTATTATTTTCGAGAATGACCTTTCGAAATAACAATAAAAACTTGAAAATCATATTATACCTAAAATTTTATATGGTTTAATCGATTTAAAAATTATTTTTTTATTTTTAAAATAATTATATTTTAATTAAATCAAAATAAAATTTATTAAAATTTTAGATAAAAAAATAAATTTCAGATCAAATTTTTTAATATATACTTCTTATAAAAATATAACATATTTTAAATTTTTTATCTCATATTAGTTATATCAATTTTAAATAATTATTATTTTATTATATTTCTATAATTATCTATTTTATACTCTTTAATATATTTTATAATTATAATTTACAAAATAATTTTTTATATAAAAAGTTATCAATTATTAATAAATTTATTATATATTTATTATATTATAAAAATATTATTTTATTAAATTTATTTGAATATTAATTGAATCTTAATTAAATTTTTTAATCTTAAATCTAATCCTCTTTATGTCACAAGTTCATTAATGAGAAAGGTAGGGGAAAGCTTAAACCTAATTCCTATAGGAAATAATAGTGTAATTAAAATTTTTGGGAGTTATATGTTAAGAAATACATATGTAAATCTTCCCTCTAGACATCCAATATTATGCATTTGTGTAAAAATAAGATCATTCACTATTTCTTTTCAAGTTTTGTCTCTCCCCAAATGAACCATATATATAACTAAGAAAAACTATAAACTATAATAGAAAAGTTTGTCCCATCCATAAGTAAATATTTCGTAGTAGCCTCATCGTACATATTTTTTTAGTATATTTACATAGTAGATAAGAACACCTTTTAAAGATACAAAGATAATTATTAAATTGTTAGGCCGTATAAAAATATTTATAGGTTGTTGATATAAATAGGAGAAACTTTATTATAGACATACATAGAATTGAACATAATAAAATAAGAAATTTGAAAGATTTCATTAAAATTGTTTGGTTGAAAATTTTAACAGTGAAATGTCAAATTTATAAATATATAAACAAGTATATTTATTAATCATTAAGCTTGAGAAGACAAAAATTATAAATACTAATATAAGTTATAAAATTTTAAAAATAATTTTAGGATGACAAAATTATAAATATTAATGTAAGTTATAAAATTTTGTAAAAATCATTACCCGTTATCTTCCAATAAGCTGTATCATTACCCGAAAAGATAATCATAAATCAAAAATTCACTCAATTGAAAATTATATTTGTTACTAAACTTTTTAAAGAAGTAAAAAAAAACAAGATATATCTTTTTATCAGAAGTTGAATCAATAATAAGCAGAAAAATTAGACAAAAAATTTAGGATATATTATTGAAAAAATAAAACTTCCATAAAAAAGAAAAAGAAAAGAAACAAATGATTTTTTTTAAGTTATATTTTAAAATAATTGGATAAAAAGTATTATAGAAATTACATTTTCCAATTAGGTAAAATAGACACTACTTACATTATTCTGTAAATAAAAATAAAAATAAAAAATATCCTGAAGGTGTAAACTAGAATGATATGTTATAAATTTTTTTATATAAATGTCAGGTAAAATTGAATATTTGAAATACGTGGATAAAGAATTATTATTATTATTAGGCTCTTTTTTTCTATTTCCCCTTTATGCTAATGTGTCACAGAATTGGTTTGTTGACTATTTGCACCAAATCAAGTGTGGTATGTAAGATATAATACAATATAAAACAGTTGAAAGCCCAATGCAAGTTGGGGGAGGATGGGGCTTTTATTTCGTTTGGTCATACTCAATAAATATTTAGAAGGTTTAGAAAATATATTATATAAAGAAGTTTTATTATTATTTTATTCATATATTCTTTCTCTATGTATAAAACAACAATAAAATTTGCTTTAATTTTAATAAATATTTAGAGTAAAATTGTATTAATCTTTACAAGGACTACAATTGAATTTTAAAATATTTTTCAGAACCAAAATATATTTTACCCAAATTGTATCAACCCATTGAATAAAATATGAGTTATAAAGAAATTACTGATAAACTAATTAAAAGTTAAAATTTGAAGTTTAGTTTAAGTTGGTTATAAGTAGAGGTTATGCTAGAGACTGTGTTCATCATTGGTCTAATTAATATATTAAATACAAGATATTATCATTTTTATAAATAATACAGGTAAAAAACTGGAAAGACAAGGACATTATTTTCCCTAAGAAACTTGAAATGGAAGGTGAGAAAGAAGTAAGGAAGAAGATAGTTTTTTCATTTGCTCCAACTTCCAACCACTAGTAAGTAGGTTTGACATTAGCTGCAAAATGCAATCCAGTCCAATAAGATCAATTAAATGATCATCAAATGAAATCATGGTATGATCTAGCAATCAATGAACTATGTTGGTGGTGTTGGCAGACTCTCCCATCTCCTTGATCCTTGCCCTCCTTCTCTTCTTCTTCTTAGCACGCTTTGCTCTCGTGTTCCTCTTTCTCCTCCTTCTCTTTCTTATATGCGCGAACCTCGTTCATCTCATCTTGGACATCCTCTCCCACTGATTCTCATTCAAAACGGTGCGCTCCACTTTCTCAATCCACTTCTCATTTATATGTTTGTCTGTTCTTGCATAATTCTGCACTTTTTGAGTCCTTCCGTTTCAAGAAAACCAAAAGTGTAAGGTTCGTCGCACTTGTTCGTACCCTGCATAATTATGCCTCTCATCAACTCCATCCACACCAAATACCAGCAATCTACTGTTTCTCTCTCACGTATGGATGGTTTAAACCTGAGATCATGTTTCGCCACGTGATCTGTTCACTTATATTTATACATATCCATGAAATTTACACGTCGCCACCCTTCTCGATGTGGAACTGGCTAAAAACTTAACTGTTACCTCTTCCTCCCCAATTATTGTTTTTCCTGTTCTGTGTTCGGGTGGGGGTTGAGGTAGGTTGGGGTTACTATCACGCAGGTGTTAGTTAAGAAACAAAATTAATTATAAGCAGGTCCCATCACTTCGTCTATGAAAGGTTATTTTTAATGGTCTTTCTTTCCTGTCTCCTCGAATTTGGAGTAAAATTAATTTCAGAGGTGAAGTTTTGAGTTTAATGGATATATGCCATCTTTCTAGATAGAGAGGTCGAAGTTCTGTTTTAGCGTATGTTATTTTAAGAAGCTGTTTGCTAAGTAGAGAGATGTTTTTAAATTTTAACACAACTATAGGAATTTGTTGTAGTTTGGAGGAGGCACTCTCTGTTTCATGTTTCACACTTCAGATTACCACTGATGATGATGGAGGACTGCACGAATCACGAGTCTCTTTTTCTGTTTTCTTTTTTTATAGACAGGATTTAAAAATTGCTGCAAATCCTGAAGGGTTAAAGTTTTGTATTGGAATCAGCACTTTGGCCTTTCCAAAACATGATGGTACAAGTTAAAAATGTTTTTGAGAGCTTCTTTAACAGAAATATAAAACTTTTTTTAGTTAGAAAATCTTGAAGTCTCTCTCTCTCTCTCAAAAAAAAAAAAAAACTTTTAACTTTGTATCCAAACAGGCTAAAGTTTTGATTTGCTAGAATTGCTTGTTCTGCTTCCATGTGTGTTGTAAAAGTAAGCTGGGCATCAGCATTTTCCTGCTGATAAAGTTTGAGCAACCTGACGAACTTCGGGGTGAAAAATGACCAAGTACTTCTGTTTTTGGGATTTACTGAAAAATAAAGATCATCGAAAATGGAATGGAATATGGATGGAGGTTTTGGTTGAGATGAAGCATACAGCACTACATGTTGATGTATATTTGAAATGCTATTCTGCTGGTTTAATTCTTCAAAGCTTTCTGTGTTTGTAATGATAAATCCAAAGAATTTACAACACTGTGAAATTGTCCTTTGCACTGCTCCTATAAGAGCCCTATATATGCAACTTGGTAGAACATACATGTACTTGTTTTGTATATGCAAAGGATAGAATTTCACATCATACATGTGCTTGTTGCCAAGCACCATATGCAAAGGATGGTATCTCACATCATGAGATGCTGAGAAATAAGAAAGTATGTCAGTAAAAAAGATGAAAGAATGTCTATATATAGAAAACCCATTTTTCTCTTCTTACCCAGAAAAAAAGTATGATTTTTTTTTCATAAACTAAAATTAATTTATGCAGTCGTTCATGAAAGTTTTTTCATATAACTTTTCTGATTCATGTATAAAATAATTTTAATTTGTACAAAAGTTAAATTTATTAATTTTTCATATTTTTTCCCTTAATTTTTTACGGTTGATCCAAACATAACCCAAAGTTAAGTTCATGCATATCTCATTCTGCATATATTTTCATTCGTAAACCATATCTTTCTTTCTACATTCTCCGCGTGTGTGCACACTTCATGCTTAAGGTCATATGTTTTGCGTACTATTCTTATCAAGAAATATTCAGCACTAGGTTTTAAGCATTGGAATTCATTCGTGTATATTCACTTTATAAAGAACAAACGATTGTTCTCCTAACATTATTCTAAGAAACATAAACACACAAAGTAACAAGTAAATTTGGTACAGTAGTCACTTGTAGATAAATGTTCGGTTATAATTTCTGTGTGTTGGATCCTTCATCTAAAAGCTCTTGCTACATGTCGCTATCATGATAACGATAACTGTCTACTTGTTATGGTTATACACTCTGGTCTCCACTAAAAATCAATATTTTGACGTAATTTGTGAATCTTACATCTGTATGGAACGTGTGTCCAGTGCAGCACGTATATATCAGCAAAGTCTTTATATGATCATCATGATACTCGAACTCGCTCATGTGAGATATAAATCTGAAATTGATGAACTTTTTTGTTGACAGTTTTAAAGGTGTTGTTACCAGACTTCATGTGTTAATTGAGAGCCCCCCAAAAGCCCTTATTGAATGAAGGCAAATTGAAATGACTGGAGTATTGTACCTTTTGCCTAGTCCTCCTTGTACATGTTTTTTTCTTTTAATCTTTGCATAGTGAGTTCAAAGATGATGCATATAGGATGGGGTTAACTTCGTCTTCAAAATGGGGGGAGCAGTGACATTAATTAACCTTTAACGGAAGTTCACATGCTGTTGTCCCCACCCCTATGCTATGATGAACACCAATTCCATTGTCACCTGACACTTATCTTTTGGCCACACATGCCACTATATATATTCCAGCGTTGCATGTAAGAACTTCCCAAATAAACTTTTTCAGGTTATTACTATTTGGTCCTCTGAGCATGGGTAAAACATGTACAACTTCTTCTTGGGGACTGTGGATGGGAGGGCTTGGAGTACTGGAGCCTGTGGTGAGGAAACTACAAACCTCTTTTTCACGTTCAAAAGGGGTGAAGCAGGGCCATTTTGTCGTGATTGCAACACAAGGGTGGAAACCAGAAAGATTCTTTATTGAATTGGGGTATTTAGATCACCCTGACTTTGTGAAGTTGTTAAAGCAAGCTGAAGAAGAGTTCGGGTTCTCTCAGGTGGGAGCACTAGAAATTCCATGCGAACCAGATGACCTGAAGAGAATCATTGGAAGGAAAAAGAATAGGAACAAGGGCATTACCTGTTGGGTCAAAGGGATAAGAGTTGCATGAGATGAGAGTTAATTGCCTTGTATTTTTTCTGTTCTTGTTGTAGTTACTTTTCTTTGTAATAATGTTGTAGCCATATATATATATATATATATATATATATATATATATATATATATATATATATATATATATATCGTCTTAATCCTTATTGTGGTTAAACACACTTTCTCATGCACAAAACTCGTATAAAGAATATTTTGTCACATTGAAATAAATTTTAGTTATGATTGAAGAAACTTTTATTCAAACACATTCTTAATGAACTAGAAACAAGGAATAGTAATCGGATTACTTTTGTTTTAATCTTCTGTTTTACTTTTAGTTTATAAAACTGACACTTCCTTTTCAATTTCTTTTCTGTTTTTAAAAATTTGTACAAGAAGACAGTGTAAACATTCGTCAGATTTATGCTTGTTAGTCTAACTTCTGGCACACGAAGGCCATTTACCATCTGATTCTCTTATCAGCGTTGTGAATGGACATTTTTTTTCTTCTAATGAAGCAAAATATTTTGATCACGGAGTACTTACTAATTACATGAATGTTTTGACAAACGAGTTCTTATGATATACAAGGAGGCATTAATCTTGGCAAAGAAAGAAAAACGTTTTAACCTACTTATTATATGATATCCAAACACAGGATTAGCATGGACATTACTACATTCATAATGAATCATTCTAACATTTTAAATTTTAGCCTTAACTGTGACTGACTTCTAGTTTTGATTATTACTACTACTTCATCAGAAAGGATAACAAAGATAAAAATAATATGATGATTTCTATACAACCATAAGATTACACACTACAAATAGATGTTGCTTATTAGATCTTCACAATGTGCTTGTATTTCCTCTCTTTTATAAGAATAGTTGCCATTTTATTGAATACTGAAGGCCATTGCCAATTATACAACTACGAAGTTAGAAGCACAATTTTCCATGGAGCTGCCGTGAGAAGGACAAAAGGCAAAATCGACATGATCCAAGATCAAAATGGTACTTGAATATCCAATGTGGAAGATATATACAGGTAAGTTACTTCCTTCCTATTTTTAATTATTGTTTTTTGATACTAATCTATATGTTCACTTCCATTTCTGGAAATCCTTTTCCATCATGAACTCTGGCGATCACCGATCACGGAGCTTTGGAAAGACCTCTAAAGAAAGAATAGATTTATAATTTAGTCCACAACATAGGGAGTTTCAAGATTCTGTGTCCCGATGGACTTCAAGCAATATTCTACCGATCTCAATGCAAGGTTGAGGAGTATCTGTGATGTGGTGGAGTCCATTTTTAGAAAACCTGAGAAGATCAAAGATCTAAATAAAACGCATCATCCTCATTCCCAAGAAAAAGGTTGTTGTACAATTTGAAGGATTTTGGTCCCATCAGTCTATGAAACGTCTCCTACAAAATCATAGCACAAGGTCTCTCTGGAGTCTGACGGACAAGTTATTATCACTGCCAAGTTAGTTTTGTTCCGTGCCCGTAGGAACTGATAATTTTAGTCCAAGAAAATTTTCACTCACTGAGAACAACGAAGGGTAAAAAGTATTGTATGGGACTTTGTAAAAGAAACCCTCTTGAATATTGGCTAACTGCTATTTTTGTTCATCTTTGTTTGTCATTGTATATCCTCAACCAGCAAGCTCATGTTGTGGAATGGGACGCTTTACGACCTTTCTTTGTTAGTATAGAGGGGTAAGACAAGGGATTATCTTTCCCGTATCTCTTTTTCCCCGATTTGGAAGGATTCCTACATATCATTAATCTTACCACCTCTAATAAGCTTTGGAAATGAATTCAACTGAATAGAAGAGGTCCCATTATTCTCACTTAACCTTGCTGATGACTTAATTTTATTTGTTGAAGCGTTCAAACTCAGATAAATGTTATTAAACTAGTTCTGAACTACTTCCGTGAAAGTCCTAGATCCAAAATAAATATTGATAAAGCAAAGATTTGTGTTTCTAGAAATGTGAACTGAGAAATTAGGGAGATGATTTAACTTTTTGACTACCAATGCACTGCATATTAGGGAAATACCTTAGGGTTTCCACCTGTAGTCCTATCGTGGAAAAGATCAAGGAAAGACTTAACAACTAATAACCTTCTTTCTATGTCTGACAAAGTTATTTTCACCAAATATGTTCTCCAGGCACTCTTTGCTTAAATGTGTGCTGCTATTGACAAAAAGTGTCAATCGTTTATTTAGAGAGATAAATCTGAAGCTAAGAAAGTGCACATATATCTCATGGAAGGCGATGTGCAGATATAAATATTTTGGAGGTTTGGATCTGAAATTCTCTATATCTACAAATAGGACCATGTTCATGAAGTAAGGTGCAAATTGATCATTATAAGTCCACTCTTTGAGGTGGTTCCTAAAGTTTAAAAAAATTATATCGGAGGGTATTTGTGAAGCCTCAAAAGGCGTTTCAATATTTCTGGGTTCACTTTTGAAGTTGATTGGTTAGATCCACGAGTCCTTTGGAGAATTATGCTTCCCATTCCTCTGAAACTGGAACAAGCACACAATTTACAGATCCACTGTGTCTCCCGGTCTAATGTTGGACTTGATCTCCCCTACATGGAAGTTTCTCATTGGAAACAACGTACCCTTCCATTTCTTATCCCACCTACTCCTGAGACCAGCTCTATAGAATCATTTGGTGCTGATAAAAAAAGAAAAAAAAGATTGCACCTTTGAAGGTTTTATTATAGCATAGGAGAGTGTGAAGGTCTAAGGTATCTCCCCGATGCCTGTCCTATATGCATGAGTGAACTTGAATCAATTTCTGGTTGTATATAAAGGAATCTTCTCTATAGAAATTTCACAGATCTCAATTAACAACCAACTTTTTTTTTTCAATGGAGATTTCAAATATTGGTTATCCCTAGATTTCAGTATATATATATATATATATATATATATATATATATATATATATTCTTATATTTTTTAATTAATTTTAATCATGAATAGGAGAACATGTTTTATTTTTAAATTGCTGTAAAATATTTTCTATACATATAAACTAGAGAATAAAATATTTGATCAATGACTGTGACCCATCTTGGAGGTGAGTTGAAGATTTAGTCAACTCTAAAATTGAATTTTGTAGCCCAAACTTAGCAGTGCAATTTATCATGAGAATGATATCGTACACACAGTATATTCTCTCAAAAATTAGTTCAGAAATATAATAAAAATTCATGAGTAACATGTTACAGCTCAAAATTTTCATAAAATATTATTCATTAACTCTAAAAAGTTCCAATTTGAAATTTATTTCAAACCTAAAAACATTACCCGTTTTCCAAGGCACGTTGAGCACCAGGGCACCACATGCATGGAACCCCACTCATATTTTAACACCAGAACGGAACATCAATACCTGGGCACCTCAACAACGACCTAAAAAATGTTACTTTCCTGTGTTTCATTTTTGTTCTAAATTAAGTTTGCATAGGAAACCTATCAATATTACTTCATTCTGTTCATTTTCAGTTACTTATTATTGTTGTTGAAGAGAATTATATAGAAGATGAGAATATATATACATCCTAGTATGATGGAGGATATTATGCTATGGTTAATGGATGAGTTAATATCTCTCTAAGTACGGTACCTCAGACCAGGTGTTTGGAGATATGAAATGAGTCACATGTTGCCTATCCAATCTAAGACAAAAGGACCTGCAAAATTCATCAATCTTTTTATATATACCTCTTTTGTCTTATGCATTATATAATGTTTTTAAATATCTATTATATTGATTTGAATCATTTATTGTTTTTACCAATGATTAAATTTTATTAGAACAACATTTTTTAAATCTTAACCACAAACTTCAATTTTAAGTCAAATTTAAAGAGATGAAACACATAAAACTTGAATTTAAAATGATATTTTAAGAGATGAAACTTGGTTTCTCTAATTTCAATCATGCACACACAGTGTTATAACCCATGTGAACAAGAGTTGATCAGAGATAGGTGCCATGCAAGCTTAGTGCAGAATTCTGTGTGTTGCTGTAGCTTCCAATAAGGGACAACCGACATCCTATTTTTCTATTAGATAGGGACCCTCTCCAAGGGGAGACACTGTGCACAAATTTGTTCCATGTCATGCATGATTGTGTTTTGTATATGTACTAGCTAAAATATATCAGTTTTAATCAAAACACAATGATCATGGTGATCTTACAATGGGTGTGATTGATGCCTACTTTATGCTATAAAAGACATTGCAGTTGAATCGATCATGGTTTACTTTGAAATAACTGATAAAAGATGTTAACATCATATAATCATTAAAGAAACAATAATACCATCCCAGGTTCCTACATTTATTATCATGCATGATATCAAAAGGACTGTCTCCTCCTTAAAACCTCTATATACCTGTCTATGTGCCACTCTCGTTTGGAGATATACTCTCTCTCTCTCTGCCATGGTCAAAATCAGCGATTTACCTGTAAAACCATAAATTATTAAGTAGTTTAACTTTATAACGGTTCATAATTCTTATTTTATTATAAATTTTATTATTTTTATTTAAATTAAATATAATTTTTTTATATTTAAAATTAAAAAAAATATATTACAGTATTATTTTGATTTAAATAGTCAAGATTAAAATATTATTAATTTTTAATATTTTATTATATTAAATTTTATCATATTATATATCTCATATATCAAACCTCTAAATTAGAAATTTCATTTTTGGATGATATAGATAATATAATTATATCTTCAATAAATCTCTAGAGGGGTTTGAAAATTTTATTATGACTCAAATCAAAATATAAAAGAAAAGAAAAATAATGAAAATAAAAACAAAGTTATGTTTTTTCTTTTCATAAATTATCCTCTCAAAATTATAATTCTAAAGTCATCTAATAAAATTTAAAATGATTTGAAAGAAGAATATAAAGAAAATAAAAAATATTTGAATCGTTGAACTACCCTAAAAAGAAGGGCACCAAAGCCTTGAAGGAGAAAATCTCATCAACTAGTCAATGTCATGTTAGAAAACTTTTTGAGTCCCTAATGATACTAATTTTATCCTTTTCGAAATAATATTCCAAGAAGTGACAATTTTTTTGAAAAAATTACTCAAGATACATGAAATACTAGAGAAGATGCGTATCGAGAAGGAAATAATTGAAATGAATAAGATCTAGAAAGCGAAACTAACGATAAAATATAATAAAATTTCTACCATGTTAGAAGTTAAATGGAAGGTTGTCGGTGTAGAAGAGATGAAACTTAGGAGAAGAAATATCATATTAAAAAAAATATTTATAATTAATTATAAAAAAAACGTGAGACAATAAAATTAAATGAAAAGGTGATGTTATAAAAAATATGATAAAATTTACTCGCAAAGAAGAAGAAAAATAATAATATCAAATTTAAATAAAAAGAAATATTTAGAATATTTACTTTATTATTTTTATTTAAATTAAATATAATATTTTTATTATATTTTAAAATAAAAGAAAAATGTATTATATTATTATTTTGAATTAAACGGTTAAAATTAAGATATTGTTGATCTTTTATATTTTATTATACTTTTATTATATAAAAATATATTAATAAAATAATATAAAAAACTTCACCCTATTATATATATTATATAAAAAAAATATTTCAAAATCTGACATTCTAACCTAATTAGTACTTTATGAAGAGTTGAATCTAACATGTGGACTTGTGAACCACTATAATTTTCTATTTTAAGAGAAAACAAATATACAGTTGAATTTTGTTTTAGTTGAAGAAAAGAGATTGTTATTCTATAATCTTATCTTTCTTTCTTTAATATGAACCAAATGAAATATATATATATATATATATATATATATATATATATATATATATATATATATATATAGTGTTAGATATTGTTTAGATATTATTTAATATTGTTAAGATATTGTTAGATATTAACCATAATATCAAACAATATCTTCTGTTTATTCTGTTACTTTCGGTTACTCTTTTAGTTGTATCTCTCTACTATAAATAGACTACCCTATGTGTGATTTATACACAAGGGAGATTAATCCCAAACTCTATTTCTTCTATATTCAACATGGTATCTAGAGCTTAAGGTTATTTTGAATTTTTTTTGGCCTTAGACCACTATTGAAGTCGCCACCACCGCCGTTATCGTTGTCGGTTATTTGGTAGTGTGAAAGTGCATGTCTAGGAAAGTTCGACAAGGAAAGACTTGGTATTTAAGCGTGTCCATTAGTGACCCACCTCTCTTTCCGGGAACTTACCGGTGTACTTGGTTCACGCCGCTATCACTATCGCCTTCGCCCTTTATGAGTTCTTCAGCTCCTTTTAGTACTTCCAATTCCGTCGATCTTGCGTCGATCCTTCCATCTACACTAACTATGTTAATGTGCACTTATCCATTGACAAGTTAACTGGCCCTAATTATGCCACATGGTCATCGGACGTCAGATTATGGCTTAAGAGTCGAAGTATCTTGATCATCTTGCCCGAAAGCACCTACTCTCACTCCTGGTGAGGAAGACCGTTGGGACACCATTGATGCTCAATTATGCGTGGTTCTCAAGGGTACCCTTGATCCTTCGTTAAAACAAATTTTTCGTTCCTACGAAACATGTGCAAAAATGCGGGAACATGCCAAGTTATTATACACCAATGATACTCAACGTCTCTATGATGTCCGTTCTAAATTTGTAGATGTTATTTCCTCTAAACATCAAGATTCTATGACTGATTATATGGGCAAAATTCATGCTCTTTTTCATGAGTTCAATGAGTTATTGCCTCCTTCCCAGACCACCGCTACCGAGATAGGACAACGATCAAACTTCTTCATGCTAGGGGCATTACACGGACTTGCTTGATCAATATTCACATATTCGTGATCAGATTTTGGGTTCTCCGGTTGTCCCCACCTTGACATCGACCTGCTCCACTCTTTTGCGTATACCAGCAAAACTCAACCCCGACACACCTGCTTCGTTAATGATTCTTCCGCATTGGTATCTCACCGTGATGATCGAACTCGCCCTCGCAAACGGGGAAAAGGACGTCCTAAGTGTGAACATTGTGGCAAGCTAGGTCACAAGATTGACCAGGTGTTATGCATTACATGAGTGTGAACATTGTGGCAAACTAGGTCACAAGATTGACAAGTGTTATGCATTACATGGTCGTCCTACTCGATCTACTGCGGTTGCTCGGATCGATTTTTTCCCACCTTTATCTGCTAAGGATCCTCCTTCTTCTATTTCATCGGACACACCTGCTATGTTCAACAAATTTCTCAAATGGTATAAGGATCAACAGTCTTCTAGTTCTACTGTGTCATGTCGCACACACGAGTACATCTTTTGCTTGATCCGACCCAATCTTCTTCGGTCCTTGGGTTTTTGATTCGGGAGCCACTGATCATATTATTGGTAACAAATCTTTGTTCTCCTCTTTATCCTCTCCTGATCCTTTACCTTTTGTTACACTAGGCTGATGGCTCTAGAGTATCATCTCATGGTGTTGGAACTGTTAAACTTTTCCCTTCTTTAACCATTGATAATGTTCTTTATGTCCCTGGGTCTCCTTTTAACTCTGTTATCCATCGGTCGTCTAACTCGTTCTCTTGATTGTGTTGTTTCTTTTACCAACAATTACGTGTGTTTACGGGACCGGAGTTCGAAACAGGTGATTGGCACGGGATGTGAGTCTCATGGTCTTTATCATCTTCGTCCCTTTACACATGTTGGTGTAGTTATAGAGTCTCCCTCTCTTCTCCATGCTCAGTTAGGTCATCCAAGTCTTGCCAAGTTACAGCAACTTGTCCCTGCCTTATCTAAATTATCTAGTTTGGCATGTGAGTCGTGTCAATTAGGCAAGCATAGTCGTACTTCCTTTCCTCGTAGTGTCACACGTGGTGCTTCGTCCCCTTTTTCCGTGGTTCACTCTGACATTTGGGGACCTAGCCGCGTTAAGTCTACTTTAGGTTTTCAATACTTTGTTACTTTCATTGATGATTATTCCAGATGTACTTGGTTATTTTTGATGAAAAATCGTTCTGAATTATTTCATATCTTTCAAACTTTTAGTTTAGCAAGGTTGTTCAACAATTTGGTATGACTCGGTGTGAAACAGATCACTCTATCTTTTATCGACACTCAAGTGCTGGATGTGTTTACTTGATAGTATATGTTGATGACATCGTTCTTACAGGTAGTGACAACCATGGCATCTCTCAGTTGAAACAACATCTCTGTCACCATTTTCAGACCAAAGATCTTGGCAAACTTAGATATTTCTTGGGTATTGAGGTGGCACAGTCCAATGATGGTATTGTTATATCTCAGAGGAAGTATGCCATGGATATTTTAGAGGAAACTGGGTTGATGAATTCAAAGTCTGTTGATACGCCCATGGATCCCAATACTAAACTTTTACCAAATCAGGGGGAGCTTTTACCTGATCCTGAACAGTATAGAAGATTGGTTGGAAAATTGAATTATCTTACGATTACTCGTCCCGACATTTCCTTTGCAGATCAGTGTGGTAAGCCAATTTCTTAATTCCCCATGTGAAGATCATTGGAATGCGATCATTCGTATCTTAAAGTATATTAAAAGATCTCCTGGAAAAGGATTGTTATATGATTCTAATAACCATACAAGAGTTGTTTGCTACTCGAGATGCTTGATTAGGCAGGATCTCCTTCCGATAGAAGATCTACATCCGGATATTGTGTCTCCATTGGCGGTAACTTGGTCTCATGGAAAAGTAAGAAACAAAGTGTTGTGGCAAGATCTAGTGCGAAGCGGAATATAGAGCTATGGCATCACTGCTTGTGAACTTGTTTGGCTCAAGCAATTGCTTAGAGAGTTACAATTTGGAGATGTCACTCAAATGTCACTTGTGTGTGACAATCAGTCGCTCTTCATATTAGTTCTAATCCTGTCTTTCATGAGAGGACCAAACACATTGAGATTGACTGTCATTTCATTCGAGAAAAGATTATGTCCGGAGACATCAAGACTGAGTTTGTTAACTCAAGTGATCAGTTAGCAGATATTTTTACTAAATCTTTACTGGGTCCTAAAATTGATTATATTTGTAACAAGCTTGGCACATACGATTTGTATGCTCCAGCTTGAGGGGGAGTGTTAGATATTGTTTAGATATTATTTAATATTGTTAAGATATTGTTAGATATTAACCATAATATCAAACAATATCTTCTCGTTTATTCTGTTACTTTCAGTTACTCTTTTAGTTGTATCTCTCTACTATAAATAGACTACCCTATGTGTGATTTATACACAAGGGAGATTAATCCCAAACTCTATTTCTTCTATATTCAACAATATGGAACACCATATTTTTGTTTATTAGCTTAATCATAAATTTATTTTGTTATCCTTAATTGATTATGATTCTCTAACTATTTTAATTTTAAGTAAAGGGATCCTGTTGTAAATTTATTAGAAAATCACTTTTATAGAAAAAACTGGACAAAATCTAGAAAAAATAAAAAATTTAAAGGAGATTGATTACATCTTTTGAACACATTGCATTTCACAGTTTGACAAGAGTATCTTGTTTAAGCTTTAATAATTTATACATAAATTAATTTTAACTTCTAAAAAACATCATTTTGTAGTTATCAAAATATTTTTTTCAAATACATTTCTTGATTTTTTTTTTTCTGATATGATTAAATAATGTTTAAGCAATAAAATAGATTATTTGCCCCTCCCTATTGGGCTCTGAGCTGGATTAGACTAACCATGAGTGCAAGCCCATGTGAATTTTGAAAGTATAAACTAAAACTAAAACTAAAACAAAATTTATCTTTCTTATTCTTTATCATTGTAAATAAAATTAGCAGTTTTTGAAATAAACAATATGTTTAATAGAAGAATGTTCCATTTATATATAAAGTTTTCAAAGGTATAAATTATTACTTTAGTAGTGTAATTAAAAATTTGTTAATTTAGAATTAAAATAAGGATTAAGAGGTGAAAAAAAAAACTCGAAACTTTATTCTCAATCCTACGATAAAAAGTGCGATGGAAATAAGGCAGAGGACGCGATAAAAATTTAGGATGCAATAGAATACAAAAATGAAGAAAAATAACCATTTTGTCAAAGGAAAAAAATGTTTAGAGTTTAAAGTTGAGAAGAGAATAAAAAGTAAAAATAGTTTTGTAGGGTAGAAGAAATGTTTACAAATTTTAAAGAACATTCTACATCAATTATAATAACATTTATATTGAATATGATTTTCTATATTAATTAAAAAAACTTCTTAGATAACAAATTTATTATTACCTATTTTTCTTTATAACCGATGTTAAATTAGGTGGTTAAATATTTTTTTTGTTACAGTGAAAAAAAAAAAAAAACCTTGTTGGAATCACCTTTTATATCTCTTATTTTCTGTTGTTTGAAATCTCCCAACTCCTTTTGTTTTATGTTTTCATTTTTATGTTAATATTAATATTAATAAAAATAAATAAATTTAATGAAAAATATGCATATAAATTATAATAATTATATTAATAAAAAATAATATATAATAATTTAACATTGATAAAAATAATATATAATAAATTAAACATTGATAAATAATTTTAAAATTAAATAATCTTAAAAAAAATTATTTTTTTTCACATTTATACATTCATTCTATTTTGTATTTAATTCTTTTCAGTCAAACAAATTTTATTTCACTTATTTTCTCAAATTTTTTTAAAGATTTCAACACTCAATTGACAATATCATGAATAACGGGTGACATTTTCAATAATGTACTTTTAATTTACAATAAAAAAGATAATTTTTAACCTACCTCCAACACAACCTGTCAGAGTAAATAAAATGATCTTTTAATCTATAATAAAAAATAATTTTTAACCTAAAACAATAATAATAAAAAAGTTAAGTTTAACTATAATATCATGTTAAAATTTTAATATAAAATTAATTAACAATATCATAAATAACCTAATAAATATTTAAATCATGTTATATAACACGATATTGGATTTGAGACTTTCTAACATTTCTCCTGATTAAATAATTTTTATTTTTTACTATCTTTCACACCTCTTTCCCTGTATTTCTATACTCTCTATTAAACGAAAAATAAAAATAAAAACCTTAAATGAAATACTATAGTATTATTAAAAAAAAGTGGTATTGAGTGAGATCTATGTACCCATATTGTTCAAAATGTGGTTGAACCCATGCAATACATAATAGCATTAAAAATATTTTTTTATAGAATGTAGAAAGAAATCTCATTACTTAAAATACAAAGTATTCAAAAGGGGTTTACACACCAAAGAAGTTGAAAACCAAACTCCAAATGACCCACTATGTATATTAGTCAAAGAAATCAAATAAACACATGGCATAAAAAGAGTCCAAATTATTTAGCTCTCTTAAGAAATTAATTTGGTGTGAATTTAATATCTTCGAATATAAAATGTATGATTTTTCCAAAACTTGTTCCAATAACTTCTTCCATTAAAGTTTTGGTTTATTTATTACCGTGTCAATGTTGATATTGAGAGAAAAATAAATGTGAAGAACGCAATTATACATAAATGTTTAAGATTAGTTTTTTTTTTTTTTGGAAGAAAGTAGATAATGATATTTAATACATTTAATTCCGTTTCTTGAAAAAAAAAAAAAGTAAAAATTAAATGTGTAAAATAAAATCATTTTTTCTAATTTTCTCTCCCTGACTAAATTTAAGACATTTCATCAATTTATTTTGTAGGTTATGGGGTGACGTAAATTAAGTAAGATTGAGTTATTCAAAATAAGATGTCTATTACATGTAATTTTGTTAAAATTCACTTTCCTAAAAAATAAAGCTCAAATAATAGTCTAGTACACAAGTTATTTAAATTACAAATTTAAAAACAAAAATTATCAATTTTCATTTAAAACTAATTAACATTAAATAAAGTGATCAATATATAAATTTTACTTGAAGAATTGAAGTAAAGAATATGGGACTCATCCTTCCTCGTCACGTCCCGGTTACTTTGATTGTTACCTGTCTGGAATTCAAGAATGCATATTGCTTATCCTGCCATCTAGATAGCTTGAGCCACTTTGCATGCATCTAATTTGACATTTTGCAGATAAATAGATGTTAAGAATTGATTTGTACAATTAAGAAAATGGACGCAAAGTAGAAAATTGTACCAACTATTTCATTTCATAGTATATATATATATATATATATATATATATATAATTGTACTGTTTTCAGTTGACTTGCCCACAACACAATACAGTAGAGAGGTGTTAATGAATTATAACTATAATATTACTGAGACAATTATGGGCAGAGAGAGAGAGAGAGAGAAAAGAAATGGTGTTAATGATGTATGAACAGGTAGGTTCAAAAATCTTATCGCCGACATCTAGAGAATGTACGAACACCGTCAAGAAAACCTTGCTTTGTTGTGTGGCCTGGGATGTCCCCGTAGGAAATGTGATCCATGACTTAGGCACTCGACATTACTTTTATTCTCCAAATTTGGTTTCACACTTTGGCTGAGTTCGTTTGATAGTAGTTATTACATATTCAAATATATATATTGATAGTCATAGAGACAGCAAATTAGTCCTAAAAGGATAAAGTACTTTGGCTGCAACAATACCGTTCTCAATTATGGCACAGTACAGTCATACAAACAACAGCACATGAGGCCTAAACAATTGTTACTTAGTTTTTGCGCTACGAAAAAAGTCCCGCGTATGAAATTAGAGAACAAACCGACGCGTCAAACTTGCATCAGATGGTACATACCTAGTTGCAGCACGCGGAAAAATAGACATGGCTCCACATGCAACCAGAGAAATTTCGTGTGTCTTTCCTATGCTAATATTCCCATTAGATTATGCTTTATAAAATCCACACACACATATATATATACAATGGACACTGGTACTGAAATCCAAAAGCTAACTGAAGCTGGCACACAGTATACTATTGTCATTGTCAATTAATAAAGCAAGAGAGCATAGAATAGTAAGACATAGAGTAATGGAGGTTGGAAAGAAGAAGACGCTCAAGTCTTTGATCTCAAAGGTGATAAAAGGTCTTTCATTCTTGGCACTGAATGGAGCACGTACGAGAAGGGTTTGTTATTTGAGTGACATTGATGAGGATAAGGATAACGAAAATGCAACAAGGGTGCCAGAAGATGTTAAGGAAGGACATTTTGCAGTTATTGCAATGCAAGGTGAAGAAACAAAAAGGTTCGTTGTTGAGTTGGATTACTTAACAGATCCTACTTTCTTGATGCTGCTGGAGCAAGCTAGTGAAGAGTATGGCTTTGAACAAAAGGGTGCACTTGCAGTCCCTTGCAGCCCCCAAGAACTTCAGAAGATTATAGAGAATAGACGACTCAATCTCACTTCGTAATTAACACTTCTGTCTATATATGCCAAGTTGTTACACAGATCTATTCATACTTTTTTCCCCTTTTTTTAAAACATTTCGCAAAGGTTAGACATCTAATTAAAAGGGATGGCTTTACCTATTGGGAAGATATACTTTTTTTTTTTTTTTCAATCCTAGCTTGAACATACGACATTGTTTGTGTGACAACTTTATTCCACAAATATTACAGAAAGGAATATATACAGTATAGTTGATCTTGTGTTACTTTTGAGATGCTTATGTATGATCATTTGTTGCATATCATGGAAAATGAGTTAACACGAAAATGTCAATGCATTATTCATGTTACAATGATGAACTAGCTATGGCTCACATCATTCTGACAAGTTCAATCAAAAACATAATATGCAGAAAACAAGTCCAGGTATATTCTTTCATTCATGCATTAAGCTTACACAACAAATTTTACAATAGAAGAGGGAGATAAGAAAAGCAAAGAGAAAAATAATAGATATAGGAGAATGAAAAAAGACTGGATACTCCTTCGATGTAGACACTTCCGAAGAAAATAATAATTGGCATATGATGGTGAAGGGTGGTGGCTGTATCACATGCAAGGGTTTCCTTTTACGCGTAAACAAACAAAACTGAACCAAACCATATTCCACTTTTTCTCTCTATCTGTTGCCCGTACGTACCCTTTTATCGTTTCCCTCAATCTCTCTCTTCTCAACTATATTATTTTATCCACTTAATTTAAGCTACAGCAACACATGAAACTTCAAAGAATTTTCGAAATTCGAAATGCTGAGAAAATTGTGATAGATAATTTGGAGGACACCGCGGAGAGCATGAAGTGAGATAATGATTGGAAAATAGTTTATAAAATAATGATGACAAAGTCAATTCACGTATTAAATGACGTGGATGATTGGACAACATATTTTTATCTTTTATGAGATAAGTAGAATAAAATAATTACACCAAATGAAAGTATTTTGATATGTGAAAGAAATAATTTTTAATTTAAAAGATATGTATTTTTATTGATTTAATATAAAGTTTTATATTTATATTTGTAGACTATCAAACGAATGAAAATAACATAACTGAGTTTGATGAACGAGATAAACAGTAGCGTATAACTAATATATCTAATAATAGAAATGACTCTATAATCTCGAAGTCTTACCTTTAATTACTTATCGAATTTGATTGGGGTGGAAGGGGTTTAATTATCTATTATCGACTTCTAAGATATATTTTCTACGTGTATGACCTAAAAATTATTTATTTATGAAAAAAAGGGTTTTAATGTTATAAAAATATCACATTGTCCTTATTAACTCATTTAATACGATATTATATGTATTAGAGAAATCTGAAATGTTTTGTCAATTAATTAATTAATTACTAAAAAGGAAAACTCTTGTGTTTCTTTCAAGGTAATAAGATGCATGATATATACCAAAGATTATAAATCATTGAACATGTTTGGTCAAAATTCAATTCAAACATAGAGAAAATTGGAAATTAGATGTTATTGTTAGTATAATAAAGGTGAGGAAAGTACGAATGAAATGAAAGGGATAAGAAAAAGAGATTGAAAAAAAAAAGGAGCTTTTTCTACATGTAGTCCGTAGCATGTCCCCGCGTGGAGAGAAAAGAACTAACAATTCAACATTTTGCACAACAAATGTATGTTTCTTCGTCTCAATCTCATCTCATGCTATTTATTTTTAATATATAAAATATACATCCACATTAAAATCATTTTCTTTTATCACAATTCCCACATTTAAATCATGAAAAATAGCAAGCTCCAAAGAATTCAAACTAACTAAATCTCTGTTCCCATCTTATCAAGGCCAATATAATTTTCTGTAAGAACTTTCTATATATTATAACTTCACGCACCAAATTTTATCAATATAATATGTATTATAATTAAAAGGCTTTTTTTTTCTGTAAAGATGATTCGTTCCGTGGTGAATGTGCTGCTTGCAGGGTCGGACAGGGTACGTTTGTTATTTGCTTGTTCGAGAAACGACCCCTGTTTCATAGAGATGACAATCTTGGTTTGCCAAGCCTCCCCTTATTCACACACCTGTAGATCTTTCTTGTGTTTGTAGCAATGTTTGTCTTTGAACAATGGATTAGTGGTAAGTATGAGTGGTAATTCTCTAGTTCATCTACAACTAAATTTATTCAATTCATCCATTACAAAACTGTGTGAAAATAATAATCAAATTCATCTATTTGGTTTTGATAGTTAATTTATCGTTCAAAATTCAAATCAATACATAATAAATCAAAATTAATTCCATCAATCTTTTTATTATTAAAATCTTTATTAAATTACCATTCTATAATGTTTTCAAAAAATTATTTTAACTATAAGTATTATTTTCATGAATAGATTGGATATCCATTTATAAAAAAATTATTAATAAATAGATTAGATTTTTGTTAAATAGAAAATAGATTAATTAATTTCTTTACCCGATCCTTCAGGCAACACCATATTGAATTTGAACACCCCCATTTTATTATCCATGGATATCCAAGACAGATCATCCTACTGGACAAAATTATATACAATCACACCAAACTCAAGGGCTCATTCCCCTAAATTAACAAAATCTTTTGCTGTCATTTGTACAGTCAAAAGATATAACTCCCCTAAAATGTTTTTGTCAAGGCCTTAGCAAATAATTTGTGTAGGTATACTTTCAAGTACAAGCTCACTCTTCTCATATGTATGATTCATGAAAGAACACTGTCAAAATTACCAAGGCAAGTGGCCAGTTAAAAAAGTACAAAATACAAGTAAACAGCCAGACTCGTACATCAAACAACAGTGGTATTCAAACATACATCCCAAATTTTTAATTTTCCTGAATAAATATTTTCCTCCCCGTGTGAGGGATATAGAGGTACTTGACCCAGCAATCCTCATTGTTTCAGCTTCACATCCATTTCCCCAGGAAAGACCTTGCCTCGGTGTTTGAAGATCATGAAGTCTAGATTGGCAGGTAAAGAGACAATCCTGCATACAAGGAGAGAAAATCAGGTGATGAGGATCCAAATAATTCCATAATATGTGATATTTGCCAGTAGTGCCAGAGTATAGGACTACATTATGAAGGCATATCCCTTAACAACCAAAGAAATTACAATGGTTTTCAAGAAGAATTGTGCAGATAAGTGCCTTTAAATAAATAGTTAAATACCTGGGTAAATATGTTCTGGAATGTTGAAGTAAGACCCTTCAAATTAAAAATTATAAGTGAATTAATTGGGTTCCTATAGAACCCAAAGAGTAAGTCTATTCAAGGACTCCAGTAAAAAAAATTCTAACCTATATCAACATATCTGAATTGTTTTAGAAAGAGTATAGGAACCTATGGACCAATGTATCATATAATATAATCTCATTAATTCTGACTTGCCCACTCAGTTTTCACACATTAATTCAACAGTAACGAGAAAAGATCCGACATTAACAAAAAAGCTGTAAAAATGTTGTCCAAAAAGCATTATGTAAAATCTATAAATAGGCGTAAAAATGTTATCAGTTGAAGTAGCCGATAAACATAAGTAAACATGTTTAAATGATATTTTATATCAAATTTAATTTAATTATGTAATTATATTGATACAAATATATTTTGAGTATTTGTAATTTAGCTTTTTTAATTAACTTTAAACTCTTAATTTTTTATTTATTTATAGATCAATTATTTTAATTATAATTGTTTAGTTTTAATCATTATTTTTTTCAAATTGTATATTTTATTATTAATCTTATACAATATCTTAAATATTTTCCATTAAGTCTAAAGTAAAGATAACACTTAAATAAACGTCATGTTTTTAATATGCTAATTTGTGTAATGATTAAAATATAATAAAATCTACTTCATTAATTAAGGTAAAACAATTTAACAAGTATAAGAACAATAACAACATACATACAATTTCAATTTGTTGAACACTATAATAAGATCAAACAGGTTTTTCAGCTGATAAATAAAACTAGAAACTAACTAAAATGTCTTACCAAATATAGTCAGTATAAAATTCCCCTTTTGCCTTCTCAAATCTTATGAATAATGTCGATAGTGAGTATAGTAGTCAAATCAAACCCAGCCACCCATAATCTACAAACAGAGTATGCATGCAGAGTCTTGACAGAGTAATTTAAGTTTCCCCTAGCAACATAATGGACTCCGGTGACAAAATTGGATTAGTTTATGGAAAGAGAAACAGTTTATATTGACAATAATCCTTGTTTCTTTATCTGTATGAACGAAATACAAGATCAGAGGCAAAAACGAAGATAATGATAGTGCAGATAAAACAACCCCTTTTGCCAGGTACTCAATAGACCTGGGCTCTCCTCTAACTAAATCTTTCAATCAACCCCCAACAGTCCTGAGTCCAGACTGCCCTTCCCCCTATTATTTTTACTGGCCCCATGCGCCTACTAACTGTCTATTAAGCATACTTTTACATGAGGTCATAAATCAATGAAGACATATCAACAATATTCTGTTCAAACATCCCGACCATATACCTCCTAGAATGTCCATTCTACACCATCAAGGAAGACATCGACCTCATAAAGCATGATAGAAAACCAAAGATTGATCGATATAGATAAGACAGGAAAAGCACATGAGATTAGAATTAATTAATCATAACTTCAATCAAACTATGTCCCTAATTTGGGATCAAAAGAGAAAAGAATTAAATAAAATTACAGAAGCCCAAAATAAAACCTAATGTGAGAAGCATAAGTTAGTCCAATTTATCTGTGGATAAACTATTCCAAAGGAAATTGAAGATATAAAATAAAATTATCTATAAGCTAAAATTAACTTATGCATAAATTAAAAACCAGCTTTTGGAAAAACTAATATGTAATATAAGTTAACTCACGCAAAAGCTAACTTTAGCTTATGAATAATGGTATTTCATTTCTTTCTTCTTATTTTCTTGTCTTAGGGTGCCTAACATAAGGTTCAATCTTCCAAAACTAATAATTAAAAATTTAATTCCCCTAGAAGACCATTCACAACATCTTATCCAAACAAGAACATAGAAAGAAGAGTTGATATTTCACAATCAGTTACGTCCATCTAGCATTAATTTAGTTACCTGTTCTCCTCAGAGTGAGGATGTATGGACTGGAACTTCCCAGGCACAGTGAGCGCAGCCCAAAAACAAAGCAGCAGTCCAACAAACAGCTCAATCACCACCTGCATTATTCCCAAAACATTAGAAACATCACATGAAATGAAAACCCTAGGTTGCAGTGTTAATCAAATTACGTTAAATGGAGGCCCTGAAAATTCCTCCTCCGTAATCTTCAACAGACCCCTATCTGCAACAAAAATCAGACCCAATTTCAGATCGACGAGCCCTAACACTCAAACAAGTAATAAAAAGTATAACAATAACAAGAATAAGTTGGAGAATACACTGGATAGTTGAATAAGCCGCGTGAAACAGAACCAGAACACCGAATACTCCGATGGTTAAGGCTAGACCCATTTCTCTGATCTCCTTCGTCTTCCACTGCACGAACTACACAGGGTTTTCAATCCCCCGCCACAAATGCCTATTTCCAGTTTTACCCAATACCCGCTTACAATTCATTATCTATGTTCAATTCATTTAATTACTAAAATATTTTATAATAAATTCTACATAATGTTTTTCTAATATTTTTTTAAATAATTAAAAAGAATTAAGATAATTTATGAGAAGAGTAGGTGAAATTCTAATAAAATAATAGAAAAAAATTTCTATATCTCAGAAACAGATGTATTAGGTAAATTTTCAAAAAAAAAAAAAGAAGATAATCTAATTTAGTCAATATTTTACTTTTCATTCTGTAATATAATTATTTATTAAAATCTAATGACATCAAAATTATTTATAATTTTATCTCTCTAAATAATCATTTTGGTATTATACTTCTTTGTTAGACACCTTCATTCTTATTAATTAGTGATAATAATCACCGGTTTTTACATTTGATTTGTATTCAACTTTTTCCTCTTTTTTCTTTTTATGCATGTTCTTATTTTTATTTAACTCAAACATTCGTTATTTTAATTTAATTTTATTCATAAAAATATATTTGACACCTAGTAAAAATAATGATTTGAAAAAATAAGTTTGAAATTTTTTGTAAGGTTTCTCCATTAGCATAATAGCCTTTTTTATGTTTTTAAGTTTTTCTTTTTATTATGTTTTTATAATGAAATAGAGTATAGAATCATTAAAGCGGTTGAATTAAATTTAATAAAATAACATTTTTATAATATAATAAATTTATTAATAGTAATAATTTTAGAAAATAAATAAAAATTATTATGATCAGTATTAAAAAAATGCTTATTATTTAAAATTGATACGATTAAAGATAAATAAAAAATTAAAATTATTTTATCTTTTATAAAAAAAAGTTTTAATTTTAACTTTATTTTTTGCTAAAATTAAGTCGAAAAAAATTAATCAAATTTTCTAAATTTCCAGTTTTTTTATATTAATTTAACTAAAATTCTATTACTTCTCCAAAATTTCAAATGAATGATTTATTGTACTAATCCTCTCTCTGAAGAATTATAAAAGAAACAGACGCCAATATATTAAACACTCAAGAATTACCATTTTCATTTTATTTTCCCGGTTAAAGTGAATAAGAAAATTTAGCACATTAATTATTTCAAATACCAAGTAAGTACATATGATCTGGCAAATCTGATTTTTGGTGCAACATGAACAGGTGAGAAACACGGCAAGAACCGATCACGGCCCACTAACATAAAATGGCCCAAGAGCAACCCTCCCACAAATATTAGAGCCAACCAAAATAAACATCCAAACACGGCTTTGCTCTACTGCTAACGAATCTAATTCAGATTACAAAATCCACGACACAATAAAACAACCTCAATCTTTCCGTAACAAAACAAAACCTAAGGACAGGCAAGTATCTAGTCCGTACATATCATGCTTCAGAAGGTCGGAAATCTTTGGACTTAAACATGTCATTCACTATTTTTCAATGGACTGGTTGGGCTCTATTAGCTCATAATTGGGCTCTATTCAAGGCCCGAAAGTAAATCCTTAGATATTTAAGCTTCCTATTCAAACTTTCCGTTATTTAAAATAAAATTTCTAAGTATAATTTTCTTAAACTATGAAAACATATTGTTTCCAAGATGAACAAGTGGGCCGAAAAAAACTGATGAAATAAAAAAAAATGTACAAGTAGAATCTTTTGTAAGTTGCAATTTTTATTTTTCTTTGACTATTTGGTTCCTGTTGTCTCCCCTTATGATTAAAAGTTTAGGAAAATATAGAGATAAAAAAATGTGGTATTGATGTCACTCACGTTCCAAGTGGTTGGAATATTTGTTTGAGTCAAACAAACGGGGTCACATGCTTGGCGATGGGACTTGCAAAATGACTCAAGTCAAGGTTTGCGGGAGAAACAGGGTTCATGTTCCTCAATGCAAAACAAGCCACGAGTTCGTAGGCTTAGGGTTGGTGTGGTACAAAGAATTCGAAAGGTTTTTTCTTTTTTTCTTTGGGGGTATCTCTATGCCCAGGATTAGTTTGGGTAGAGACATGATTTGAGTCGAAGATAGATGGGTACTGCTGATTGATTAGACTAAATGGCTTTTGGAGGGGCATTCTCATGTGGAAACTCAACTCCTAATCATGACTCCTCCCTCCATCACTTTTTCTACCTATCATAAGGTAACTTGGCCTTCTTCGCATTTCTCTATCATGTCACTTTTCTGCGACAAAGTCTACTCACACTACTTTTTCCTTTCTTCAAATACATTATTTGATTATATAAGCTGTTCATAAAAAGATATGTCTGGAATCTAGATGTACATAAACTTACGTAACTATCCACACAGATACAATTAGGTTGGTTAAGCATTGATTAGAAGTATCAAAGTGTAGGGCAAATTCTTAGCACATAAATTGACAGAGTTAGCAATTTTGTATGGTCCCAATGATTATTGGAAGCCTTCCCACCAGCCACTGAGATATTAATTTATAAGCTTTGTTTAACTGGGAAAGTTCATACAAGAGATCTGAGATGAGATGGTGATGATACAAATGTATATGAGTCAAAAGTACGAAGAGAGCGTGGTTTTTGTGAGTTGGTTGGCAATGATGTAGGTAATGCATTAGTGGCACAATAATTGGAGAGAAAACACATCAAATCATATGATATATAGCTTGAAATAATAATGGAGAGAGCAGCATCATACCATTACACGTAGATAACAATTATGGTGCAGAGGAAAGAGGGGTGCCTTCCCTTGTACCCTGCACTTCGTTTTCTCCACACCCCTTTCCTTTTCTGTTTCCCATTTTCCATTACTTCAACTGCAACATGCACGTCTATTTATGCCACATAACACAATAACTTCCTCTTTTTGCACTACATTTCTCTTCATGCCTCATAAACCAAAACACTCTTCCAAATATACACTAACAGTTATTACATACTGTTACCACAAAATCTATCTAATTAATCCATATGGAAAGTGTTACTGTCACAATTTAAACATACACTTCAAACAAAATATAAATACATCTACATTACAAATTATTATGCTTATTAGTCTTCTACAAATTAGATACAAAGTTTCAAAAATATAATACTTTTAAAATATATTAGTATAATCGTATAATATATGAATTGACAGTATAATAATATTTTATTCTGATTTTAAAATATTATTTTGTTAAATTTAATAAAATATCCGAAACATCATTTTATTTATTTATTTATTATGGTTCATAAAACGTACTATAAAGTAATTAAATAAATACACTTATTTGTTTATAAAAAATATTTTATTAAATTTTATCCTTAATGTTTTAAATATGATTAGATTTATACTTGTATGTATGAAATTAAAAATCATTTTATTTTTGTTTTGTTATAATATCTCGTCTATTACCTTCAGTTTATTAGAGCGTCGTTTTAATGAAGATCGCAGATTCTATAAAAAATAATGAAGAAAATCTAAATTTAACCTGTAATTTTATGTACTATTTTTATATTTAATTAACATGGTATATTTTATTCTTTAAATTTTATGCTTATTATTTATAAACAAATTTATATATTATTTTTTAAGATTATGAAGAAAATCTAAATTTAACTTGTAATTTTATGTGAGATTTTTATATTTAATTAACGTGGAATATTTTATTCTTTTAATTTTATGCTTATTATTTATAAAAACTTTTTATATTATTTTTTAAGATTATGAATAAAATCTAAATATAACTTGTAACTTTGTGTAATAACTTTTATATTTAATTAATATGGTATATTTTATTCTTTTAATTTTATGTTTATTATTTATTTTAAAGAAAATTTTTATATTATTTTTAAAAATTTAGCTTGTAAATTTGTGTAATATTTTTATATTTAATTAACATGGTATATATATATATATATATATATATATATATATTAATTTTATTCTTATTATTTATTTCAAAGAGAAATTTTATATTATTTTTTAAAATTTCATTTGTAACTTTATGGAATATTGTTATATTTAATTAAGATGGTATTTTATGGTTATTATTTGTTTTAAAGGGAATTTTTATATTATTTCTTAAAATTATGATAAACATAAAAGTCAATTGTACTATTATTAAAAAAATCATGAAAAAGATATATATATATATATATATATATATATATATAAAAAAACTTTGTGAAATATTTTTATATTTAATTAAGATAGTATATTTTATTCTTTTTAATTTTATGCTTATTATTTATTTTAAAGGGGGTTTTTATATTATGTTTTAAAATTATGATAATATTATTAAAAAAAACATTTGAGATAAAAAAAAATCTAAATTTAACCTGTAACTTTGTCGAATATTTTTATATTTAATTATGATAGTATACTTTATTCTTTTAATTTTATGCTTATTATTTCTTACTTTTCGAAGATTGTATTTTTTTATTTAAACATTTTTATATATTGCATCATTATTACTACTAATAGATGAATTGTATGATAATAGATTCTAAATATTTTTACATAATTTGTTATAAATTATTCCGAAAGAGGCATTTTGTAAAAGGGATTAAAAGGAAGCTTTGTAAAAAAAACTAGTCTTTTCAAAATTAAAGTTAAAACATCATACAGACTCAGTTAATAAAAAAGAAACTGAACTTGAAAATTATATTTTAAGTGAAATAAATATTTTTTATATTTGATATTTTTTTAATACAACTGTTAAATGTAGAGGCCACTAAAAAAATTATTAGCCCTGACTTATATTTTAAAATAACAAAAAATTATATTTTAAAATAATAAAAAATTCTAATCTAACCAGATCTTATATTAATTCAATGAGTTAACGGAGTAATTTTGGTCTAATTAATTTTAAAAAAATATTAATATATTTCCTAAAAATAATTAATTGAAATAATTTTGTAAATAATTTTTTTATTAAGAATTTAAATTTTAATAATAAAATTAGTTTTTATTTTAAGATATAATAATTTAATATATAAATGATAAGAAAATACATCTCTCAATTTTAAAATAAAAATTAAAAATTTATTTATTATTATTTATTTTTAATAATTTATAAACTTAAAATAATAATTAATCTTAATCATAAAATAAATAATTATTAAATTTTTTTAAATAAGTTAATTTTATCAAATTAATTTATAATATATATATATATATATTAATAAAATAATATTAATTTTATATTTATTTAAAAAATAATTATTAACTATCCTCTAGAACTAAACTACCTTAAATTCATGTATTAGACGGAATAAAATAAACTTGGAGTTGTATTTTCACACCCATATTTTGAATTTACTAAACTTGATAACTACGTATTTGACTTGTGGAAACTCCAATGGTGGGTGTTCATAATTAGAGCACAAAATTAGGAGAATGATGGGCATGGAATGTAGAGAGAGAAGGAGAGAGTTTGATGATGGTGTGATTTAGAAAGGAAAATGGAATCGGGAATTATGGCGCACTGACAAGTGGTTGGAGAAGATAACCTAAAAATAGGTCTGAAATAAAAAAGTATTTAATGATGTGGTGACGTGGGACACAGTACTTTTACCAACACCCACACGTGCGCCTCCACGTGGGAAGTTGTGAGTGGGTGGTACAGAAAAACACAAAAGATGATGGGCACTCACATTTCAACCTTGTCAGGACTGCACGTGTTTGCTTCTAGGTCCCCTACAATTACCATTACTCTCTTCTTTCACACCTTTTCTTATCAATATTCAAAACTTTACAATTTTATTCAAAATAACAAAAATCAATCACTATCTTAATTTATAATTCAATCTTAAAGATAATTTTCTTTTTCTTTTATACAACCTACTTTCAATTCTATTATTTGCCTATAATAAATTAAAATTTCATACAAGTTATTCATATTCTTTGTCATTAAACAAAAGTAATTTTCCAAGAAATTTGTCTCTAATTATTAAGAATCTTATTTTCTATTATACCATTTTTTTTTAGATTATATGAAATCAACGTTATCCTAATCTTTATATTCTAATTGACCTAGATTTTCTGTAAAAGAAAACTTTTAAATTTCAATGTGATTCATCAATATAATGTAAAAAATAGATGAAAGTCTATATATTTTTTTAATTGTATCTGTAATTTTAGTTTAAATAATATCTTGCAATTTTAGTCACCAAAATTTCAAATTTGTAATTTTGATCTCATCTCCAATTTCTATACATTTTATTTTCCTTCATTCTTTAATCATAAATTTAATATATCATGAAATTCCATTTTTTTATATATAATATTTTACTGATTTTTGTTTTACTGCTATACAGGTTTTAAACCCAACTCATGCATGAAATATATATATATATATATATATATATATATATATATATATATATATATATATATATATATTATGGTGTTAAGCATTGATTTATATCATAAAATTTAGTCAAACATTAAACTGAATAATACTGACTTTGACTTAACATATTAACTAGGTGTGCTCTTAATTTACATGTAATCTGATTTTAAATTTTGATACAAATGATTAAAAACCCAAAGTTATAAAAATTAGGACGTGTTTTCATATATTATAAGATAGGAAAAATTACAATTATATCCTCTACTAAATGTCATTCAATCTTTTTTAGAAACTCTCTTTAAGTTTTTAATATAATGTCAATAGTAATTAGTTTTAAAAGATTCATTTATCTTCTATCTTATGTTTTTAATAAAATAAAATTTACTTCTCTTATTTTATTTAAAAATAATATAATAGCTAAAAATTAAAATACAAAAGTTATGAAAATTGTAAATTAAAGTTTAAAAATATAATATTAAGGAATTTATTACAAATAAATTGGAGTGACACTTTTATCATTTTTTAATTTTTAAGCAACGAATTTAATGTTTTTTATAAATAAAAACTTTAAAGACATTTTATAATATATTTTTTTAATTTAAAAAATTAAATCTTTAATTATTATTTTTTACATTTATTTAAGTTTTATTCAATATGTTAGTTTTTGAATAAAATAAGAGGTGTAAATATTACTTTATTAAAAATATAGAGAAGTTAGTGATTTTAAAATTTAGGGAAATTTGATAATCAATTTAGGGAAATATGATAATCAATTTATTAAAAATTCAAGAAATATGAATATCGATTTTAAAAGAAAATAGAGTGTAAGCGTGATTCAGTATAAACGTAAAAAGAAGTTAGTGTAGACAACCATTTTTATCTAAACAATGAAGTAAGGTAATTGTTGAAGATTAATTGTAAATATATTTTGTTTTATCTCATTTTCAAAAACAAAATTACCTATCTCAAATAGGTGTAATTTAACATTTATACATTTATTTATGAGGTGTATGGAAGAAAAATATGTCTTCTTTTATTTATTTATTTATATATATATATATATAATATATAAAATTTCTTATAATTTCTCATTCAATATCATATGTATGTTTGTGTGTTTTTGTATTTACAGATAATTTTTTTTATTATTTTTACTTATTAGAAAAGAATATGATTCTATTTTATGTAAATTTTTTTTCTATTTATAAATTATTTCAACACTAGATTGTAACTTAAACTTAAATAAAAAAAAGGTTTATTAATGTTTGAATTGAGAATCTAATTTGGGAAAAGGTGATATCCAAAAGATGCACTGGACAATGAATTTGAAAGGATCGATAGGAAAACATCAAACAAGCACACGTTTGGATTATAGACTAAAATTGACACTGTGTTTATGTATATTATTATTTTAGCAGTAAAAAAAAAAAAAGTAGAAAGAGACCACGGTAGTCCTTTGTTATTCTATAATTAAGTGAGGGAAGAAAAAGATGGTTAAACACCACAGTGTGGCAAAAAGACCACCCAACTCCAGCAATCAATAACTTATTTTAAAGTTTTAGTTACAGTGTTAATTTGTTATAAACTTATCTATAAGTAGGTAGTCAAGAGGAGAAAAAAGAGTGGGTGGGAATGTGGGACCTGAGGGACGTAAAAGGAGAGAGCCCACAGTGCAGGAGAAAAAAAAAAAAAAAGAGAAGGGCGCACGAGGGTCAGGGTCAGGGGAGCACCTTGGCTCCTACCACAACTCATTTTTTCTTCACATTACGATTCTTGCTGTCTCCTCTTGTGACCCCACCCCATTCACAAATCCCTATCCACCCTACTATCCTATTTTCCTCTAATCTATTGTAACAAGCAAAGGGTTGGTTGGGGTAAATAATATAGAACATTGCAACATCATATTAATTATAAGATAAAATACAAACATAATGGAGAGGTAAATAGAAAGTGTGACCGCTTTTGTGTGTACTATGAGAGGAGGGTAAGGTAATTCATGGTTGGGTTGTGAGGGTCCCCACTTCAACTTGGTGTTCACAGGATTTTTTTGATGGACATGTATGTAACACATGTTTGAGTTGGTCCTAGGTAAGGTTAAACATATTCCTTCAATAGCTTCAGAGTGGAGGAGTAGGGGCTCAGTCATAAACCTAGCTAGACACATTTATACTCACTATTTCCTTCTTCAAAAGTTTGACACGGCTTTTTGTGGGGAAACTTCCTTGAAATTTCAGAGTGGAAAAACAGTTTTTGCTGTCTTTTCTCTATTCGATAAAAGGAAAAAAAAAAAAAAAGAATATCTATACTAATGATTTGAGAAAGCAACCATTATTTCATGCTGAGTCATTATATTGAATCAAACCTAATGACTTTATCACCTCTGTAACCCAAGTGGTAATATACGATAAAGACTATCACGTCAAAGAAAAAATATATTAATTAATTAAAAATTAAGACGCATGTGTTGAGTTTTGTTTGTTGCCCCATCGAAACATTTAAGCATAGACGACGGTGTGGGATTTAGGACACAGAATATTACAGAAAAAGTGGAGTTATAAAAGGGAATGACGATGGACCCAAGAAAAAATAAATTTAAATTGAGGGGTGATCTTGTCTGATGTTTCCATAGCACGAGGACCATTGTCTGGAAATTGACTAATCATGCATATTGGATTTTGGAGGTGTGGTTGCATGATAATTGATGCATAAACAACTCATATATGCTCTACTGTTTTAAACTCTTCTTCAGTTTTGAACCTCTCTGCTGAGTCCTGCTAATCACCCTGTATCACCACACATGCATCAAACATTTTTTAACTTCAATTTTCTCTTTTTACACATCATTTGAAAGCTTGGCAGTGTCAGGTGAAGGAAATTAAACTTGGATACCTAGCTAGACACATGATTACTGATAAATGTAATTCTGCAGACATATGCAATAGTGTCACTGCAAATTGAAGTTGAGACAAACATCATATCAAGTTAGTTTCCAATTAGTTACTGCTTTATGTATCGTCCGTGAGAACTATGCACAAAAGAAGAAGAGTTAGAAACAGTAATTAATTACATTGGTAGCCACCCGAGATCTCTGTGAGTATATATGGTAAAGTTGATTATACACCATGATTCAGGCAGATGAAATATAAAAATATGGTTCTATGCATATGAGCTTAAGCTCTCGAATGGGCTAATTAATTAAACCTTGAACACTGTAACATATATGCAAGTTTGAGAATCTCTTGACACATGAAAAAGAAGATCTACTCAATAATAGTTGCCAAAGTTGAAACAGATCTAATCTCTTTCACATGTTAGCTGGACTTAATTACACACAATGCAATGATAATCCTATTAGAAAAAGTAACAATTTGCAGTGTGACATAGAAGTAGCAGTACCCTCTTTATGTTACAATGATAGAGAAAGGGATGGATGATACTGTGGCAAGCCTCAGTATTATTATGTCTCACCACGCTCGTGCCAACACAAAAGCATGGCGATGCAGCGGCGAAGAATGTAGAATTTGGCGCGCTGCTTCTTGACCAAGTGACTGCACTTTTGGCCAAAAGATTTGCAAGGATCACAAGCTTGTTCCTGTTGTTGTTGCTGCTGCTGCAGCTGAATATTTTGGCTTGTGTTGGTTTCCTTCACTGCCATGAATGATTTTGTTCTGGCAAGTAGTGCACTGATCCTGATTTGGCACCATAAAGCAGTAAATATAGTGGTGGAAAACATGGTAGCTACGGCTTCCACTTGGTATTTATATAGCAGAGTAGACATCTATTTGGGCAGGATAGGAAGCTAGTAATTCTGGGTCTTCTAGATCAAGTATGGACTGTTACTATTACAAAACCACCAGTTGTCAGAAGCATATGAATATAGAATGGGCCAAGGTTGCTATATCTTTTACCCTCCTAGGTACTAATTCCTTCAATCTCAATGTTTTTATTATTTTTTGGGAGGGACCTAGAGGGGTAAAGTTAAAATGAAAAGAAATCAATTAATGGATTAATTAATTCTGATATATAAGAATTTGAACTATTTTTATTCTTTGTAAACATTAGATATGATACAAGACAAGAATGTGACGTTAAACTAGACAATAATACTAATAATAATGTATCCCTTACTTGAGGAGTGAGTGAGATTTAGGGGATTAAAGGCTAATGTTGGATTCAGTACTTAGTACTAACACATTTGCCTACTGAGATGGATACAACTACTGGCCCAGACTACGTGTATGCCTCATATATGCAATAAGACAGACAGAGCTAGCGGAAACGACCCATCTATAGTGCCTATGAGGCCCCTAAGGATTGTTTTTTGTTCTTAAAATTTTGCGGTTGTAAGCATAATAGAGGTTATCTTTTCTTCTTGTTTCAATGTTGTTTGTGGAAATTGTGACATGAAATTTCCTTCATGAAGGATACATATGTAATGTCCGGGTCATTGCTCACACTTGCTACATCATGTCTTAGGCGTGCAAAACTAGTCACATTTTGGCATTTCCAGATTCCTTTCTTTTTCTTCTACTAATTTCTACTGCCAAGAGAACATAAAGTGAAAAGGGTGCAAGTTTGATGTTTGATGAACTTAATTATAGCTTCATTTGGGTCACCATGTTCCTTTTCGTGCCTGCAGTGTACCCCTAAACTGATATCATAAAGCAAAATTTGAAGGGATTGGTGAATGTTGACATCTTTGTAGCTATACTTGGATCAAGAACTTGGCATCCGATTTACTATTTTTGCTAAAAAGATTATGAGAGTGGAATTTGACAATAAAGTTAGATGCACAAGTTGAGGTTTGGTTTTATTCCGTGACGTTAACATTTAATTAAGCAGAGGTCCCCTTCACGGGTCCTATCTTGTGTTAAGCCTGTCTTGGATCACTTTTTTTGGGTTTGAAGATACCTTTTTCTATGAGAGGTCTTCATCTAACACAATCAAACTCAATTAAACTTTATGATTATCGTCATCCTTTGAAAAAGATTTATACATTTCCGTTTTGAGGATGTAAAATAAGTTCTAGTTCTGGAGAAAGATACAAGAAAATAAACCAAGTGGTGCTATTTGCAAACCAATTGTACATTTCCTTGCACATGCATCATTTTGTCGTTTAAGTGTCTCTTATATGTCATTCACATGTCGTATATCTTACATCAAATTAATCCGTTTGCTTTAAAATAAAAGAAATATCTCATATTTTTCAATAAAAGTACACTTTCTAATGCATGTATGTGGTTCTGATTAATTCGAGGACATTTGTCAATGACTCAAAATCAATCTTATTAAAACCAACTTTATCAGGCTCTAAATCAATCAGGCACTTATGATTAATTCGTGTTGTTCTGCATGTGCTTACATCATTTCTCAGTAACTGGCAAATTGCTTTTATAAAAAATACTTTTTCTGAACCTTGTTTCTTACAATGACAAGAACAAAATTTTAACTTGAAATCTCAAATAAACTACCTAACCCCACCACAAGAAGAAGATGCGTGCAAAAATCTGGGTAGTATTTAGTTTTAAGTGTATTTAGTTAAAAGCGTAAACGAATCTAGTAGTATATATTCGTATAGATTTACTTATTACGGATTGAAAAGATATGCAAATGACAACATATCCCTTCTCATAAATTTCCAGAAGCAAACTCAACTGGTGCCAAAAGATAATTGATGAAGTTGATAACAAGTTATATGAAATAAGAATCTTATTGAATAAATTTCTTCTTAGGGACTTCTAAGAGAAAAAAATGGTACATGAAAATGTCTACAAATTAATTTATATATAAATTAATTTTAATTTATGAAATTAATTTCATTCTTTTTCTTTTTTTGTCCTCTCTTAAAATTCTTAAAGAAATTTGTTATATATTGATTTTAACTTAGGAAGTTGATTTCATGCTCTCTTTTTCTATTTTCTCTAAGAAGAAATTCATTTTAATAGATCCTTAACGGCTAATTGATATGCGTAAATAAATTTAAGGGCAGATATATTTATTGTCTAAGTTGCCAATTAAACTTTTTTTATTTCATAATTTACGTTGAAATGTTATATATACTACAGCTTATGTTGGTCAGTATCAGCATGAGCTCCCTCTCCTATCTAAAAAATATACAGCTTAGTTGTTCCAGTGCAATATAGATATCTCTTTATTTATAAGCAAATATAAAAATCAAATGAGATTGCACCAATATATTATAGCAGTTTAAATCAAAATGTTTTGTTTTTCATTCCCATTGATTTGGCTTCTCAATTTTTACAAACTGCACATGCTTTATTAGTGCTTGAATTTCTTTTAACCCCAAATTGCTAGCCTGGTTCATCCTCAATTACCACGATCGGCGTCAGCTTTCTCTTCAAAAGCGTGATCTAGTCGTTGCTTTTGCACTTGGGCAGAAAAAAACCACAGCGAGGTACGATGAACTGCATAATCTTGTGTCTACCTGTCTATATAAGCAAGTCTATGTATGCGTCAAGCCCTTGACTTTCAATACACTGCTTGAGCTTGGACAATGCTCGGCTCTCCAACTGCCGGACCCTTTCCTTGGTCAAACCAAACACCTTGCCAATATCTGACAACGTTTTTTCCTTGCCATCCTCAATACCATATCTTAGCCTGATTATGCTCTTTTCTTTGGGGCTTAACATATTTAGGAGGCTGTGCATATGCCTCCTCATTAGCTGTTTTGAAACACACACATCTGGGATCTCAATTGCAGAGTCTGCAGTAATCTCCTGCAATTTTAATAAAATTGGGATCAATTTGGAACATTCATATTATTTTGTTGCTCAACAAAGGAAGGGAGGGTCGATTCTGACCATACCCAATCCTCCAACATTAGAAGGACCAACTTAACAGAAATTTACAACAAAGCAGCATGACGATAACTTAATGCGGGAAGGGATTGCAAGATACTAGCACACAAGCTCAAATCAAATATAGGAAACGCATAAAAATATTTTGTAATATTCCCTACCAAGGTCAAATATATTGATGTGTTTATTAGTTAAAAGTACCTTATGTTTAGGGACAGATGGGTATTTATTTAGTCCGGGCTGATCATGGTTTTCAAAATGTCTATATGTACTCTTAGAAAGTGAACTTTAAGTTTAATGCATCCTTACAAAATTGATATAGAAATTAAGGTTTGCACCTATTTATATATTATAATTTGATCATGTGTAGTAAGATCATGAACGCACCTCCATACACCAACAATTGGATATCTCAAGCATGAAACTAGATGTTTACGGATGATTCGCTAGCAGCCCGATAATGAGTAGTACAATAGGCCTTACAAACCTTATTATAACAGACCCTGATACCAATACACCCTCTCACTTCCAGCCCTGTTGAGGTTGTTGGTACGTTTTATCCATGTGTGGCCTTTAAATGGATCTAGGATAGGCTTTGATACTATCTTATACTCATTTTTATATTATAATTTGACTATATCTCTAATTGTTGTGGGATCTATAACAGTTACAACCTCAAAAAAATAAAAACAAATTTCACACTTCACAACAAAAACCATAATTCATTGGTATTCCAAATTCTACTAAAAAGTGTTTAATACACATATGACATTATTGGAGAAACATATTTAAGATTATTCATGCAGTCAATTACATTATTGTTGGAATGAGATTTACTATCTCCTTGACATCATAAAAAAAAACTTTAACAGCCGGTGCTGATTCATTACCATCATACTCGACAGAATGCAATAACTATGCAAATTGAAATTGTGCATGAATCAATTTCATTTTCATTTTCTTTGTAGTTTGATTTCTACGCATTTGTTTATAAAGTTATATAGCACAAGCAAAAGACCTGATACAAGAACTTGCCAATTTAAAATAGGAAGCTTAATAAGCATCAACTCTTCTAAAAAAACATTAGAACAATACAGAGCTTTTCTTTTCCCTGTTCTTCAAATTTTAGATCTAATAAATTATATCACAGCATGAGAAAAACAAATTTACTTAAAGGCCCTACCTGGAAAGTTGTATCTTGGTCTGCCCACACAGTTTGCTGCATCGAAATTGGATTTCTTGAAGCAAATAGTAAAGTTTCCAACTTGTCTATAGTAATTCCTACCCTTCTTGCCAATTCTTCTTTGGTGGGGTGAATATTTCCCTCCTGAATGTATGATTTCTTTGCTTCTATGACCTTGCCCAAAAGTTGATATAAATTCTCCTGATCATAAAAATATTCCATCATAAATAAAATTGTTGATTGCTATACAGATGATATTTTATTAAAATATTAATGCAAAAGTAACAGTATTTTGTAATTTGTCAACATGCAGCAATTTCATTAATAAGGACACTTAAGGGAGGATGTAGCTTAAATTTGGCTAACCAGATTACACAAAAATATACAAATTGCTTTTACCGGCATTCGGATTGTCCTGGAATGTAGAAATATGGCCTTCCTTATTGAATGCCTTATCCACCAGTATGCATAACTACCAAACCGGCAACCAGCTCCAGGTTTAAACTTGCCAATGCTCTTCATAAGACCCGTACTTCCCTCCTATAATATTATCAGAAAAGGAATGTTAAGATGCAGTGCCTAATTATGTATTAAGGAAATCATTGCAACAATTCTCAAACGAAATAATAGATATCCTCTAGCCAAATCAATTTTTACCAAATTACATCCCCAACTTAAGCCACATATTTATCTTATGGTTTTTCTCTGTTCAAAATAATTTCAACCCATACATATGGCAAACTAAGTATTAAGAATTAACAATAACTATGCAACAGTCAAGAAACATAGACTTTGGTAGTGGGGAATGGAGACTTTTAATTCCTTGGAGGCTACCTGAAATAAGTCCTGAAGGCTGAGACCACGTCCCTGATAATGTTTAGCAATGTGAACTACCATGCGCATATTGGCATGAAACAGCTTTTCTTTGCTTCTGTTACCACAATGAAGCTGCGTCTGCAGGGCACAAGTACTAAGGCCCAAGACATCAGCCCATTCAGCTAAAGTTGGTTCCCGCCTCAACTGAGATTGAAGCCTGATCTTTACTTTTTCCAATCTTGATAAATCCTGTCACATATTCCACGTTATGGCAAAAGATCCTTCATAGAGCATACCGTGTATTTAAACAAAAAACATGGAGTTTCAAGTAACACCTGAAGCTGAGTAATCAATTGAGACTCTTCTTCACGGGTTAAAAGTTGCCTTGATTCAGGACCCGACAAGAACAAACGCAAGGGGTCATTTTGATCATACCCTTCGTTTAATTTCTTTTCTAATCGTAACCTTCTCTGTACGTCAGATTTTCTTTCAAGGTGACTTTCTTCATCAAGAACTTTTGACTTTGATGATTTTCTTTGTTTAGATTGCCTTTCTATAATTCGGGTCGACCTCACAATTTTATTCTTTTTGAGTGAAGAGTCAGCCAAACTTGTGGAGGCCAAACTGAATGGCATCTTTTGGGTATTATTCTCAGAAGAAAATTATCCCATAAACAGAATAAACAAATTGACGATGTCAAAGTCAACAAGAAAGATTGAACTAACCCAAAAGAAAGTGGATCATCATCATCATCAACTTCAATTGATGTCATCTCCTCAGCTATTGAAACTGCTTGCTTTGAGGCTGACAAAGCTGGTTGAGCAAGAGAGATCGCATTCCTCAACAGACCATCTGCTGGCCTCTCTGAGTCATTATCAACAGGTTGAAGAGTTGAAGAAGCAACAATTGCCCTTGTCGGAAAACAAGTCAATCTGCAATAGACCACCGTACATGAACCCTATAAGGAGACACCTTGGATATGCAAAATCTTAGCAATTATAACAGATGAAGTTAAATCAGAAAGCAATTCAATTTATCTTACAAGTTCTGTAAATGAGACCGGAGATGCAACTGCTGAACAAAGTCATGCACAAACTTATCAGCATTGCATGCGTTATTTTTCTCTTGAAGCATATCCATCTGCCTTGTAGTTAATGTTTCCTTCAATAAAAACAAAGGGATGATGAATTAGTTGTTAATATGTACAGAAAAAAAGGGATTATTACATCCAACAAAACTAAAAACCAACTCTAAGAGAACAGGTAAAGACTAAGATGCACATAAATGATACTTGGATTAGATATGATACATATCCATTATAGTGATAAGATTATTTTAATTCCAAAAATATACAGAATACGATGTGTAAGGTACATGTATACGGACAAAAAATGGATATTATTAGTATGAATGCGTAAAGAAAATGAAGTAAGCACTTTATAAAAGACTTATTATTAGTATGTTTATATAAAATTCTTCTGAAGAATTTTGTAGGAGAAGAAAATAAGAAAAAATGAAAAAAAAAATTCTAAACAAGTTAAAATTAACTTATAAATACGTTGATTTGTAGAACTTTTTATATTAACTTCTTCAAAAAGATGATTTTTAACTTGAACATTGATTTATTTAAGTTATGGAAAAACTTATTTCCATTTCCTTTTCTCTTCTTTTCCTCTATAAACATTTAAACAAGCCCAAGACAGAAGAAATTGGTATATAAACTATAATCGAACCTCCTTATTATAAACATGCAATAGGGGCCTATACTCCTCACGCTGTTCTTGTAAAAGAACGGAAGTAGGAAAATGCCGAGCTGCAGAACTAGAAGACCAGGATGCAACTGCTGGAATAGCTTGTTCATGAAGCATCATAACTGCACACAGTTTTCAACTTAATGATATTTCCACAAAACCGTAAGATGAGGAAATTATCCTAGCATGCATAATACCTCTAAAACCCTCAATTTACAATATCTCAACAAACAGCTTAAATTATTTTAAAATCGGGGAAATGAAATTGAAAAACACAGGCATTTTGTGAATTGAATATCTTAGGGACACAAAATCATTCAATTTGCAATTATGATAAGTAAAACATAAATAAAACAAAACAAAATAAATGGAGCAGTTGAAATAAGGTTACCTGAAGGCGAAGAAGATGAAGGAAACGATGGAGACGAAGAGAACATGGTCTCGGAAACACTGAATTGCTATCTTCTCTTCTCTGTATGAATGAACTACGTGTCCAATTTCCAGTTTCTACGGAGGAGTTGAAACTGCACTAGATAATGTTGACATAATTAAAATATCTCTGGAAGAGGAAAAAAATTTGAAGCTAAAGCCTCTTTTTAAAAAAAAATAAAAATTCTAGTTTTCTGTTAATGTAATTGAATATAACCCTATTCCTATTGCTATTATTCCTCACCTCAAGTTTCTGCCTGTGCAATCCCAAGAGGAAATAGATTTATTTTTTTCTATAAAAATAAAATAATACGACACTCACACACAGTTTCTACCTTCCCAAAGCCCAATTATTCACCTAAAATTTCAGAAGCCCACTACACACTGGCCCGGCAATGTTCAGATCCATTTGATTTAGGTCATTCCAACACGAAAACGTTAATATTGAATATAATTTTTTTATCTTTTCCATAATGAAAGCAAGGGAAGTCTATTTTGGAAATCTCGGATTAGGTAATTCGAAATCATCTAAGTCTTACTATTAATACAGAAATTTAATTTAGGAAAAAAAATCTGTTATAAATATCACTAAACTTCTTTTATAGAGATTAATTGTTAAAAGAAAAAATACGAATACTCATTACAAAATAAAACACAAACAACTTTACGATATATCTTACGTAAAGTTTATGTTAGATTAGATTTATTTATTAAATAAATAACTCTCTACATTTCTAAACACCACTTTATTTAAAGTTTTTTTAACACAAATAAAAAAATTATTTGGCTGATCGAAAAAAAAAGTGCTTCAAAAAATTATGCTAGTACTCTTTCATTATGCAACCATTCCTCAATATTAATATAAGTGGAAACATAAGTATTGTGTGTTTACTCTTTAAATATATTTACTTTTTTTTTCTTTCTCGTACTTTTGTTTTATATATATAAATCATAATAACTATTTTTTTTTTTTTATAATATCAAAACTCGGTTAAGAAATAATTCCAATAATTATATATTTTCATTTCACTCGTTTGCTCCCCAAACTATACCCAATTTAGTTTGTTTTTCAATGCGAATATCATTAAAGAGTAAGAAATATTTATGTAAAAAAAATAATAATGATATCAATAATTCACCGTACGCAAGAGTATAATAAGAGGAGAAAGTTACTCATGCTTGTTCAAATTTGATTTTCAAAACAATTATACGTCAAAATAAAATACAAAATGAAACAAATCATACAAGATTTAAATTTTAATATATATGTATAAAGAGTTGTTTACTAGTGACAGAAAATACTAGTCTTTAAGATTACTTCCGTTGGTTCAATCAAGTTGTATAAAAAAAAATTGAAGTGTTAGTATAATTTTAAAGTGTTGGTTCAATAATCAATATTTTCAGAATTTATAATTATAAAAAAACATTTATCCTCATCAAAAGATTAATTTATAATTTCGATTAACTTTTGTAATATATCTTATATTAGGGATGACAAACGAGTCAGGCCGGCGGTCAGCCCGCCATAATATGGCGAGACAGGTTGGTGTTTTCAGTCCACTGACCGCTTTAGCCCGCCAACCCGCTAAGCCAACCCGCGGGACGGGCGGGCCAGCCATCGACTGCCTAATTAATAAAAAAATAATTTTTTATTGTAATAAAAATTAATTATAAAGATAATATATAAAGTTAAAAATTTTAAAAAGAGAATTAAAAAAGTTTCACTCTCACATAAAATATTTTCCCTTACTCGAAACACAACTTTCTCTCTTGTTCTCCTTGTTCATCTTAAACACTTGGTTATTTTTATTCTTATGACTTGAATTAAAGGTGTAAGAATTACTCAACCAAGAATAATGTGAAGTTTTATCAAATAAAAAAGATATAGATATTTGAATTTTTCAATATAAAAAATATAAATTTTATAAGTTTTAACGTTATATATATATATATATATATATATATATATATATTTGTTATTATTTATTATTATATAAATTTTATTATTGTTCTAAATTATAATTTCTTAAAATAATATATTGATTTATATTATTAAATTGAAATAATATATATATATATATATATGTAATTATTGACAAACAAATAATAATCTTATTATTAAATTTATTAAAAAAATTATTTTAAAAAATAAATTATTTTTTTCTAAATTATGGCGGACCAGCCACCAACCCACCCCTTGGCGGGGCGGGCCAAGGCCTATAGCCGTCATGACTATATCGGGTCAGCCGCCCGGCGTGACAGGCCAAAGCGAGACGGTCGACTTGTTTTGCCATCTCTATCTTATATATATATATATATATATATATATATATATATATATATATATATATATATATATATATATTTATTTATTTATTTATTTTTTTGAAGTTCAAAATTAATTATGTTAAAACAATTTCTTCAACATTAAACTAAATAGTTTATTTTAAAATAATTTTAATCAAAACCAATTTTACAAACACTCACAAGCCTAATCAAGATGGAAACACTAATAAAAGCAACCATTGATCTGATCTACTTTAATGTATAATTCTTTATGTATGAAGTTTTGTTTCTTCCCCAAAGTATCAGAAATGTCATCATTATAATTAATAAAAGAGGTAAATGAAATAAATTATAAAAAATAACCATCATTATAATTCCTGAACAAGGAAAATTGTGCAGGTTCAAAATGGTGTGTTCTCACTAGGTCAAATAAGACTCTAATGCTTGCTGCCAAAGTTCCACCACCTTTTCTTCTTTCTAGACTCATTTGATGGTATATCTGAATCAATATGGAGATATACACAGGATTAGCCAACTTTTTCGACAAATAAATAAACATCCAAAAGAGTGGTACAAATTGGAATTTTAATATGCAGAGTTCAAATCCTACAAACTATCAACACAATTAAGTGTGTTTGGATAAGCTTACAAGACAGCAACCCCTTAATAATGATTTTTTCGAACATTTTTCATAAGCTATTTTTCTGCCTCCTAAAAGCTCTTCTAAAGTGTTTCGGATCTATTTGGTGGAAATTTCTCTGTAAATATTTACAGGAAAGAAAAATATGAAGTTAAAATATAATCAACTCCTCCATAAACTAAAATTAACTTATATATGAGTAGATAGAAACTCAAATTTTGGAGAATGTAATACAAAATAACTTGTGCTTATGCAGTTAATTTTAGTTCATGAAGAAGATGATATTTTTTTCTTCTTTCTGTCTTCTAGAAGTGTTTATTGAAGAATTCCTTGTCAATAAAATATACATACAAAGTGTATGAGTATCCAACCTTAAATTTTATCAAGGTAGTGAAGGAATTTCGGAGCTTGTTTATGAAATGAAAAATTCGAAAAATACCTCCTTGTGGATAAATGGAGTTGTAATGCACCTCTGCCCAGAAACTCAGGAAAATCACTGCAATAAAAGGGACATATTATACTTAATATGATGAAACTGAAAAACTACATTAAAATAATTAATACCAATCGAAAAATGCAAAACTATTAATGATCCAAACATTAATATGCTTATTTATACAACAAAAACTACTTATCAGAATTCATTAAAATGAAAAAATATCTTTAAGATTTTCACCACAATAGAAACAGATAAAACTATTCCATCTTGTCATAAGCATGGCACATTCCTTTGAAAGGGAAAAAATGATAAAGTTAGATTATGATCATGGTTCAGAAAGATTCAAGAAATACTGAACAAATTCTAGGAGGCAAATTAAAGAGAAGAGAATGAAAAATTAGAAAAAAAAGAAAGGAGAAGTCCTAGCAGAGGAAAAAACCAGTCTCCACTTGGTTTCAGTTCAAGTATAAAAACAGGTCAGGAGTTAGTGATAAGATGAATCCTCTCCCCAGACTCATCATAAAGAAAACCAACCTCCTTTTGGCTTCTCAAAATGAGGAAGTATCTCTATGCAACAGGTGTCCTTGAAAGAAGTCATCACAAATATTCTCACACCATACTGGAGGGAAAAGAAAAAAGAAAATCAAATATATTAATACAAGTAAAAAGGCATATCATTTCATAGTTAATTCCAAATACTATTTTAAACTTTGCAGTTACAAAATCTCCAGAAACAGAAAGGTTAAAAAACTTTGCCAGAAAATTAATGCGTCAATTGATATACCCACTCTTAAAATGCATTCTTTACTTTTTAAAACTCACAAACCTACATTGATAAACTCAATTTACTAACACACTTGTACAGTGAAAGGGTATGACAGTTAAAACTATTACAACATCCAACAAATTATTCATTTTATACGCAGATACAATAGTTAGGTAGTCCAAAACCAAATTCAATCATCTTCTTCTCAGAAAAATTAAAAACGATGACTTTAACAAAATAATAGTAAAGCATAAAGTCAACAACCAAACTTGAAACTTGTAAGAAGCTTAGGAAACTAAACGATCACACTATCAATACATTATTTACAGATATTTGACAAAACATTTTGTCCCATTGAATAATTGCTACAGAAAAGGATATATGAAACTTGTTGCAACAGTCATACCGAATCTGCAGCTGCTTGGAGAGTAACATGATCACCCCATTCGCCATTCCTAGTTCCATTTATGATGAAAGTGAAGGGGACTGTCAGTTAACAAGAAAAAAACTACTCACGCATACGCACACACATTGAGAGAGAGATCATTACTTAGACATCTTATCCAAATAATCATCATATTCCATGGGAACATATCCATCATAAATCTCTGGATTAGATTTAAGCTGGTTAAAAACACAATTCAAGTAAGAATTCAAGAATAATTGCACAAAATCATAGCAGATATTATAAGTCAAACATGCATAAGATAATACAATAAGCAACAAACCTGATTGACAACTTGTCGTCTCACAAACTTGTGGTGATCAGGTGCGTGGTACAATTGATCAGATAGTGCCCGGAACTAGATATGAATGATCATAAAAGAAATTATATGAAAACTACTCTAAATATAGTTATGGCAGAAAAATATAAATT